TCGTAGAAAAATGACCCCTGGTGATTTTTTTATGCAAAAATATTAGTTTTAGTAGGAATATTCTTGTTAGGCGAATACATACGGGTAATATAAAGCAACCTTATGATATAAAGTGTTCATTCCTGAATGCTTTTAAGCTTAAATAACATTTGCTTAGAAAATTAGAAAAAAAATGTTTGGTTTTTTATGAATGAAGTTTCAAACTTTTCATAAAAAGTAGAGATGGTTTAATAAATTTGAAAAAAAAAACAAGACTAAAATAAATTGCCTCTGACCTATGATACCAGGGAAAGAAAACCTTTAAAATTTCTTTTGTCGTTTGGTAGTGTTAACAAAACCTTAACAAAATGGGGGTTGTAGTATAAAGAAGTTTTCGTCATACCAAAAATGGCACATATACTCGTAGTATCGTGTTACTCCTTTCAACAAGTACTTACATGTGATGATTTGAGGTTTTTTTTACCAATTGAAAAAAACAACAACAAATGTTGGATTGTGAAAAGGTTTTCAGCTTACATATTATATTTATGCCCCCGTAAACGAAGTTTTTTTTTTGGGGGGGGAGGGGGTATATAGTTTTTTTTTTTACCTGTCCATCCGTCTGTCTGTTTGTCCGCAAAACTTTCACTTTAACATTTCACATAACTTTTGACTGGATGGGACTATGGCTTTCATATTTCATGATCACAGGTGTATTTTTAAATCACCTTAGTAAATCTGACCTATTGCTATCCGTTTTCGTCCGTCGACGTGCGTCGTACGTTAACATTTGAACATTTTCAGCTTCCTCTCTAGATCTGCAACCAATCAACAAATTTCAACCAATTTTGACATAAGGCATCTTTGGTTAAAGGTGAACAAAAATCATGAATTTGATGGATTCTGTTCCTCTGGAGCCTGAGGAGTAGCGCCAAAACCACTAAAATTAATGCAATCGTTAAAAATCTTCTTTACTCCTGGACAACAAGCAGTCAAACTGTTGGTATGATTGTAATTAGCATTGAGTCCTCTACCCAAATTGTGAAATTCATGGCCCCAGGGTTAGGGGTTCTGGTGTTAGAGTGGGGCTCTATTGATTATATAGATAAAATACATTACTTCTTTAAAATTCTTCATCTCTGCTCCTTGGTTTTAAACAAAATTTGAAAAGCTATTTTTAGCATATAGGTTCCAGTCAAGGACACATGGTCATTGGCCTTGGTGTCATTTTAAAAAAAACTTGATTAGTGAAATAGGCATTCTAAATATGAATTCTCTATCTCATAAGGTCCAAAATTTATGGCGAAGGTACAAAAAAAATATTTTTAGCATATAAGTCACAGTCAAAGTCATAAGGTCATTGACCTTGATACCATTTGAAAGAACTTAATTAGTGGAGTATGCATACCACACACATGCATGTATGACATCTTTATCTCTCATTGTATAAAAGATATGGTGATGGTTCAAAAAAGCTATTTTTAGCATAAACTGTATATCACAGTCAAGGCCACCAGGTCATTGACATTGGTGTCATTTGAAAGACCTTTAATAGTGAAGTATGCATGCCAAATATGAAGTCTCTATCTTTGATGGTTCAAAAGATTTAACGAAGGTTAAAGTTTGCAGACAAAAAAGATATATTTAACATATACAGTACTGAAGGGACACAACCTAACAGAGAGCGACAGTAAGCCTGCTGCAGCATTTATTTTTTTTTTTAATATACATGTACAGGAAGATGTATATAAAGAAAGAAATCCGGACCGCTATGAAATATGTCTGGTTTATCGGGGTATACTCAGGTGAAGTGAAATTTACATATTAATTGAACGAATTAATTACGCTAATTAATCACGACATTTAGTAAATCGTACATTGTTTCAGTCTCTCAAAATGGCGTAAGAATAATCAGAGAAATATAATATAGAGGGGATATTTTAACGTATGAATTATGATTTATTATAAATTTTGAAATGTTTTAGGACTAATTATTAGGAAAAAGTAATTAATAAAGACGTAAGTAATACACAGTTATGTGGGTTGTTAGAGAGTTGGTAACGCAAACTAACTGTAGAGTTACACTAAATTGAAAGAATAATCTTGTTAAGTATCATCAGGAATTGGGTCTAATTCACGTTCATTCTGGTGAAGTCATTCAGTTTGTTAATACCATTAGGGCGAAATGACTTCAATTTGTGCATCCAGAAGGAAGATTTTCATATACACGCATTTTTTCATGCCCAAGAAGATCAATAAGCTTAAGAAGAACAATAATTTTGATGCAAATTTTGAATAATTTAATGTAACACGTAAATTGAGAAATCATAAATAAAAAATTAAATAATTAGAATCTTTTAAAGACAATGTGTGTGTGAATTAGGGGGCATATATTAATATATTCTTATAAGGTCAGGAGAACAATTATTTTTTGCCTTTTTCCTTATTTTGATAAAAATCATACTCGCTCCAAAATTCTGACCGTGAAAAAGATCTAATATACAGTGTAATTTTTTTAAGAAAATGTCCGGTGAATATTTATTACGAACTTTTAATGTGTAACTACTATAGATGAAATCTAAATATATCAGATGTACAAAAGATTACATGTAATTTGTAGATGCGATATCATAATTAACGTGTTAAACAAACATTTAAACTACGATTTAGCAAAACGTAAGGAATAAAAAAAATGTATTTTTAAACTAAGTAAATCATGAATTTAAAAGGTATTTAGTTTAGATTTCTTTCGTCAGTTTCACTTGTACACCATTCGATACACTGAAAATCAATTTAACACTCTTTTCGTCCTCTTCTTTTTTGTTTTCTCGTTATAACTTAAGAAAAATAAATGCCTTACAACCCGCTGTTAAACTAGTTTGAATTTCTCGGGATCGAGAAATCATGGAAATCAATTAAACATGTACATGTAAATCTACCTCGAATGTACAGTTGAATTTTAGAAAATATATCAATGTTCTCCATTATATCACTGTTTACATGTACACATGTACAGTACTAGTGTACATGTCCGCATCGTCGCATGAACAACAATGATCGATCCACAATACCATTACTGTATTGGAATATACAAGGGGCGGGGCTTACTGGAGGTGGATTAAAGCGGGGTCTGCTTCACGCATCAGTGCGAACGCCGGGTTCGCTCTAGCGGACCCAGAGCTGACCCCGAGCGAACGCGGAGCGAACCCGGAGCGCACCCTGAGCGGTCCCAAAATTTCTGAAAGCGAACCCGGAGCGGACCCCGAGCGAACCCGGGAAGCGAACCCAGGGTCCGCTCCGGGTTCGCTCTGGTGTTAGGTTGTGTCCGGTCGGTACTGTAGATCACATTTAAGGTCTCAACGTCATTCATCTTGGTGTCATTTGAAAGAGCTTTATTAGTGAAGTATGCATACCTAATATGAAGTCTCTATTTTTCATGGTTGAAAGTTACGGCAACGGTTAAAGTTCGAAGGCAAAAAAGCTAATTTTAGCATATAGGTCACATTCAAGGTAACAAGGTCAATGACCTTGGTGTAATTTGAAAGAGCCTAACTAGTGGAGTATGCATACCAAATATGAAATCGCCATCTTTCATGGTTCAAAAGTTATGGCAAAGGTTAAAGTTTGCATACAAACAAACAAACCGACAAACAGACAGACAGGACAAAAACAATACACTTACCGGACCATTCGATCCAGACGCATAAAAATTGATTTTTTAATGTGGGAGGTAACAGCAATACTAGCACCCAGGATGACAAGTTGCAATGAGTAACAGGGCCGTCATAGTGAGCCTTACTCGGCCACTCTGGAGCACAAACTCTAACTGTGCACCATTCAGCCAACTTGTGACAATGTCATGTATAATGCGAAATAAAATCAAAGCATTTTACAGAGAAAAAAACAGATAAATGAGCCGATTTTTATTTTTATAATTATTATAATTTTTTTAATATAATTTATATGTAATTTTTATAGGTTTTTTCATATTCATCAAAGAGATATAATTTATAAATCTCATTAAAGCAATAATTTTGTTCAGGTTTGTTGATCATTTTATGTCTAAAATATGACAGAAGTTGCATCAAACTTAAAAAAAATATTCTTTAAGAAGTTTATAATTAATTCCATTAATTTTAAGTGAAAACCAACAGTAAGAAACTAATTTCATCCATCTATTCTGATAACTTGAAAAATAAACATGATATTTTAACAATACAATTATAACTTACAAAATAAAACAGTCTTTATAACCAAAAAGAACCATAATAATTGCCTATATACAAGCATATATATCTATTTAGTTACATACAAAGATGTCTATTCCAAATATTTAATTTTCTTTAATTTCCCTTTCCACTCAGCAACAAACAGATTATTTTTATACACACATAATCCCCATGGATCCTTCAGATCACAATTATCTATATAACGGAGGAACTGTCCGTCCTGGTCTAGTATGTGGATACAGTGGTTATCACCGTCTGCTGTCAAAATCTGACTCTGGCTGTCTGTTGTGATTCCATAAGGTTTAAATGGTTTGATCTTTGTAGTAGAAGGATGACCAGTGTATCTAAATCGAAGATTACCAGCCTGATTGACCACCACTACAGCACCAGCTCCAAAGTCAGCTACACAGATATCCAGGTTTCTGTTCTCACTGATGTACTTAATTTTTCTATTTGCCGAATACAGAGGTTTACCCTTTTTATCAAACTGGATTGTTTGTTTCTCTTTGGAGCGTAAGTAACGGACAACTTTGGATTGTGTTTTTTCATCACTGTACATGGTAACAAGGAGATCACCAGAGGAGGTGATACAGAGCTGTTTAGGTGTCCAGTCCTGCAATCTGATCATCTCCTCTGTCTGTCCATTCCTAACTTTATTCACTGTCTTTGTTGTCCCATCACAGTACACTAGATCTCCATCAACTTTCACTGCTATATCAGCTGGCCATTCCTTTGATTTTGTTTTGATTGTCTTGATAAATGAACCTTGAATGTTAAAACATTTCATATCACTGACTAGTCCACTTGTCCAGATTTCTTCTTCACTGAGACAGGCAACAGAGCGGAGTTTTTCATACCCAGTATCCATAGTAGTGATAAGTTCTGGTTCTTCCAGCAGTTCTCTGTTTGATGTTTCTGGTTTTTTCAGTTTGTAGCCATTTTCTTCTGTTGTGGTAGATAAAGATGCAAGAGATCCAAACAACTTGTAAATCTGTTCTCCATTTACTGGTTTTGGATTAAACATTGGCAGTGATATTTGGACCTTGGGAGGAAGTTTGCTAAATTCTTTGTTTCTGGAGCTGTATTGAAAGGTCAAGGACACTTCATTTGATTCTTCAATTTCCTTTAGGTTTTGCAGAGTTTGTTCAATAAGGGACTGTATTTGCTTTACTTCATCTGTATGTTTCTTGAGAATGTCAAAGTGTTTTCTTTTTAAACTTTTTATTTCTTTCTTCATGGCAATGATGACATTGTCAATTTCTCTGTGCCATTGTTTTCCATATTCTGTCACTGCTGTTTTAAGTTTCTTATATTCTCCTTCAAAATTAGCTATCTGTGTTTCTAGATCATTTGTGATTTCTTCGTATGTTGGAGAAATAATGTGTTGTAATTCCTCTGTATCTTTTGCGATATCTTTTTTCTTTGAGTTGTATATTTCGGAGAGTTCTAAAAAACTGTGCCCTTTATGTTGACTTGAGGTAAAACATGAAGGGCAAACATGAATGTCGCATTCCTTGCATTGTAAATCACAAGTTTTGGTTGGGTGTGTTGCACACTTTGGATAAATCAAGGTGGATTTCTTTTTTTGGAATAGGACAATTTTATGTTTTTCGTATTCATCAGCAATGTGTTCTCCAATACATGGTTTACAAAGTTTGACATGACAGAAATCACAATACATCTGTACTTCAGCTGTCTCACAGATATCACATCTGATCACATCCTGGGCACTGAGGCGAGGATCCATATTTTCTACAGATGATCTATTATCCAAAAATTGTTTTGACATTAAAATTAGGTCTGCCTTTAATACAACTAAATGATTTAGGCTGCTAAATGAAAAGTTACAAGCAGAAAATTTGGAAATCTCTTTTTAAGAACTGTTTTAATTGCATATGTACAGATTGTACTTATTAGATATTTTATAAATATTCAATTGCAAACGACACCTTGAAAATGCTCAAATTCAAAATAAATTTGCAAGAATCAAGTTCTATAATAAGTTTTTAGACAATCTAGCTTTAAGGAAACTTACCTTACAATACGGATGAAATGACATATAAATCATTCTTCAGTACTTTATCTGTATATTTACATATAGATGAATCACGACTGACGAGACTTTACAGGTCATACAGGTGGAGTTTGTTGTCGATCTAAAAAATAGAGTTATCTTTCGTGCATCGTTAATGTACTTGGAGCTTTGACTTATATACCCCACTGCTTGATTAAACGTTTTTTAAAAATCTGATTCAGAGGATCTGTGATTTGAACCGCTGACAATCCGATATTCAGATTCGCAACCCTTCTCCATATACTTAAACATTAAAATCAATTATGAAATGCATAATTAATACGTATACACCTTCATGACCGAGGAATGCAAATTTATTAATTAAAAACAGAAAACAACTATTGGTTTAATATAAACATGTAAGTACATGTATTCAGATTAAGAACTTGATTCAACAGCAATATTTTCATAAATGGTTTAGTCTTAATAATAAAATTGTTTTATTTTATTTATAAGTATATTTACTTATACTTATATAAGTATAAGTATATTATATAATTATAATTGAATATATTTAATATTTGAAGTTTCCATGAATAAAGATATACTTTTCTTTCGTTCTGACATGTTAAAAATGTCTATCTAAGAACATTAAAAACGTCTATCTATAGTTCTTATTTTGTCAAACGTTTTTTTAACAATGTTTTGAAAGCTGTCTTCTATTTTAATTGTTCTTTTAGTTATCTTTTTAAAAAATATTTTCTTTACATCCTGACAGAGTAAGTTTAAAGTAAAATCCTTTGTTCTACAATTAAATATTTACGTCATTCAATTTTTGTTTGTAACAGTTACACGCCATATAAAATAATCGAAAAATTATTTTATAACCTGTGGTTATTTAGATCATCATGGCTTACGTCAAAAACGTATCAAACCGCTTGAGTTGACTTTTTTTAAAACGTAAGATTTATTTAAAGACATTTTTAAAGGAAAAACTGTCGGAATTCTTATTACACTCATACATGGAAAGTCAGATCATAAGGAATGAATTTAATGGCTACCCAAATTAAACTGATATATTTTGGGTTGGAACAGCTTTCGTTTTTCTAAATTTAAACCGCTTCACAATTTATAATGCTTCAACTGCCCAAATTTGGGTCATACCATTATTGTCCTGAATTTTTTGAGATAAAATTTCTTTTTTTTTACTATAATCTAATGATTATTTTTTTAAAACAAGTTTTTCTCAAGGTTTGACCTTTTTGACTCGTAGTTCGTAATTAATCTTTCAATACAACAGGATTAACATATAAGTGAAGTGACAAGAAATACTTTTCTTAATTATTTACGTTTGATTAAATTGTAGCTACGTAACATCAATTCATTAACGTTATAAACTCTTAGACTGAGAATACATGTTTTATGCTTTGATATTTAAGCAATGAAGCATTATTTTTTTTTTTGTAGATATCTCATAACTGCAACGGTGTGTGCAAACAATTGAGTAATGTGTGTTAGTGCGTTATTAGAATTCGCTTGCACACATTGTTCCAATTATGAGACTATATTTTCAAAAAAAAAAGAATGATTTATTTCGAAAGTTAACATGTTTTAAACTCTCTGTCCTTACAGCGGATGTGATTTATATTCTAAAATGCATGTATTATTTTTTCTCCTCCATGGCACCTGATCCCACCTCTGATAATTTGGAGGTTCGTGTTTACTCTGCCCCTATTTTGTATTGTTTTATGGACTTTTGAGCTTGAATACTGTTCGTTATTTGCACAGGTACAATTAATGTAACTGCTTTTGGTCAACGTGACCGTGATTTTTTATTTTACCTTATCACGTTGCACAACCTCGGCGTTCAACGTATGTGACGTCAAAATAAAACACATGCTTTAAACCTCCTTCCCGTGATATGGCGTTTTGAATGCTTTAGATTTCAATATACTTTATGTGCAAAATTAAGTGAAATGTAAATATTGATTAATGAAAAAATAATTGAAGAGAGTTGAATTTTATTTGTAAGATAGTAATTCAAAGGCAATATTATTCGTGGCAACTCTTTCAATTATACGACTAATGTCAATAAAAAAAGTAAATCCGAAAAATTATCAACCGGATAAGTTAAAAGGTTACATTTTTTGATCAGTATTCACAAAATCAATGGAATATACATACATAAAATATTTCTATTTAAGGTATTTCAATTTTTAACTTTTCCCTCCATCTCAGCAACAAATAAATAAGTTTTATCCACACATATCCCGTGAGGATACCTCAGAGCACAGTTATCTATATAACAGAGGAATACTCCACCCTGGTCTAGGATATGAACACAGTGGTTAAAACATTCTGCAGTAATGATCTGACTCTGACTGTCTGTAGTGATGCCACAGGGTTCAAATGGTTTGCTCTTATTTGTAGACAGGTGACCAGTGTATCTACATCTGAGTTTTCCAGCTTGATTGATCACTACTACAGCACTAGCGCCACACAGATATCCAGGTTTCTGTTCTCCCTGAGGCATTTAATTTTGCTATTTTCTTACCCTTTTAATCAAACTGAATTGTTTGCTTCTCTATGGAGCCTGAGTAATGGACAAGTTTGGATTGTGTTTATCATTACTGAACATGGTCAACCAGGAGGTTACACAGAGTTTACTAGGGACCCAGCCCTGTAGTCTGATTATCTCATCTGTCTGTTCGTTCTTTACTTAATCCACAGTCTTTGTTTTTCCATCAGAGAACACAAATGCAAGATCACCATCAACTGTCACTGCTATATCATTTGGTGCTCCCCCTGATTTTTTTTTTTTGTTATTGTCTTGATAAGTGAACGTTGAATGTTAAAGCATTTCATATAACCGACTGTTCCACATGTCCAGAGATATTTGGAAATTCATCCTAGAAACCGTTTGTTGCTATTCTACTTTAAATATATTTTGTCGGGGTAGTCACTGGGAAACTTGATTAATATTGGTGGAAATCATTCGTCAGTTCTCTTTTTTATTTTTGTTGATCGCGACTCCGAAGTCTGTTTTCTGATCTGCATAGTCGTTCTGAAAATTAGAGTTATCGCTCTTACAGCGTTTTACGAACCTGGAGACCCCCCTTCCATTTCTATTTAAATGCCTATGATTCACACAGTTCAAGTATTATGAAGATCGTCAGACTCATATTGTTCCATTCTGTATTAACATTTATTAATTTTTGAACATTAAAATAATTTTTATTATATCTTGATTTTCCTTGATTAATTAAGATGTAACTGAAATAATTTAGCCGTCTTCCCTTTTATATTACTTTTTTCTTCTTTTTTAACTCTCCAGATAATACCAAATTAAAAAAAAAATCGGAAAGGGCGACATTATTGCAGCTAGTTGAGATCCGACATTCACCTGCATGTAACATCTAGCCAGAACGTAGCATCGTTTTTAAAATGGGGTGAGGGCAGCCGGAGATTTAAAAGTCAATTTATGAACAGGTATACCGGTAATATGGTAAATAAATAATCTAAAGGGGTTGAAATGGAGGCCTTTGGATTTTGTTTCTTCTCTTTTCTTGCTACTTAGAAAATGACTTAAGAAAATTGATAGATGTTTAGGATAAAAGCACTCCGAAAAATACAACAATGTTATTTTAAATTTTAAAAAAAGCAAACAGTTTGGTAATATAAAAAATAAAAAGTGAAATCATATTAACGTAAATTCTGTATCAAAAAAACTTAACTAAAGCTGTAACTTGACAACGTTGATCCTTTTGTGTAAATGACACACATTCTCCTCATTATATAGCTTCATATATACTTCAGTGCTACAGAGCCTATTTTTCAGCCACCTTTGATTGGCATATGACAACCCTACTATTGATATTGTGATTTAAATTCAAGAAATGAGGTTTAAATTGACCTATTCAAAGGTCATAGGGTAAAACGGGTTTTATAAATAAAATTGGCAGTAAACAGGAAATTGTTATAGTCTGTTTCTTTTGATAACATGTCCAGTAAAAATTGTTTATCCAGGCCTTTCTTCTGGGCTGCTACTCTCCTCATGAACCGTTGACAGACAGTGCAGTCAATGTAAGGGGATGTTTTCGTCTCGTAATCTCGAATCTATCAGGTACGCGAGAAATAAAGAAATATAATAAAAAAAAATGATCGGAGTTTTTAAAGAATGATTAAGATGCAAGTACTGTTAATCACTTTTTATTCGCGAGAACTTTATTTTCGCGTGTATGCTCGCGAAAAGTAAATTTCCCTGTATAATAATATTCTTAAGGATAATATAGAGCATGAACCACAATTCGTGAAAATTTGGTCTCGTTTATCAAGAGTCAATAACCATGTCGTGAAAATAAGGTGTCGCGAAAATTTTGTGATCTACAGTATTAATTGTTCTTTAAAGAACAAACCAACAGTTTTAATATAGATTCTTAAACACATATTGTGGAGATATTCGATGACAGCATAGCTATTCATGGAATAACATGTTATTTTACTTATCGTTGTTTACTTGCGTTTTTCATTCCCAAGATAAAAGAGTCAAGATATATCCCAAACGCAAATATAGTTATTTACAAAAATTGCTGATTGGTCGAGCGGTTCGATCGACTCCAATCACAACTTCAGAAAAAAAAATCTAAGTTCTTTTTATTAATACTGTATGACAAGGGTTCATAGGGAGAGTAGTTTATCAGAAACCTCTTGACCAGCGAAGATGAATGCATAATATACAGAATCTATATATATATAAATACCATGTCAATAACTTTAAATTATAAAAAATATAATTAGGAAGAAGTGACAAATAATTCCAATTAATTATTGACAAGCAAGTTGATGAAACAAGAATATCAACAGTCTTGTTCAAGGTCATCATGCATTTCGTAAGTTCTATGGTCGATACAATGACTTTGTCAGCAATTACAATTTATCATTGAGTCAAATGCTGACTGACGTTTTTATACTAATTGTTAGTCCATGTTTCAGAGGTCAGTTTTTGCTCTGCTCCTATTTTGTATTGTTTTATTGACTTTGATATTGAATACTGTTCATTATCTCCATATCCTTCTTCCTTTAAATTTAAATGAAAACCAGGGGATGATAAAATGACAATCCGACTGATAAAGGAATACAGGTATATCTAATATTTTAACCTCATTATGAATTATTATGCTTCCTGTCAGTTTGTCTCTATATAACCCATACCCTGCTATTCTCGCATAGTGGTCTAAGGATTTATACAGCGTAAGCATACTATGCCGAAATAGTGCACGGCCTTATTTACTCAATAAAATTTTCATTAGACACGCCGGGAATCGAACTCACGACCATGGGGTTGCTAGTCCGATGCCTTATCGATGACGCCACAGACGCGATCACCAATTGGAAGAATTTTATTAAATATATAAACTTAATTTATACAATTGATACAAGAAGGAAAAAATAGACAAAAATTATTTGAAAACAGTTTTATTATCCTAAGGAACGTTAGATAAATGTGTACAACAAAGTTTCAAACTAATTACATACATATTTTTCGATGAACTGATGTCATGGGGTCATCAAAACGCTTTTTTATATACGCTTGATTGAAGGACGTAAAAGAAAATTATCAATGAGAATGGACGTCTGCAAACAAATCAGTCTTACTAACAGAGCAGTAAATAAAGATCAGTTGCTTTGGGACAGAAAATCCTGATTACTTTAGAGAAAATACTAGTAACCAAAATAACTAAGCATGCAATCAATTTTAGCATGAAGATTTTGAATGAGTTCTTGCTAGTGCGCTGTGTTAGCACCGTTTTTTTTTTTTCAGGAAAAAGTCAAATGGATCATGTGGATTGCCACATAAATAATTACAACAGTCAGCATAATAATAACAATAGTGTTGCATTATGCATGTACTATGCCTCCGGTTCGTGCACCATGTGTCAAACCCTGCCTACTATTTAGGCATGGTACATGCATAATGCAACACAATTATATAAATATAATATCCTTTTATCAAATTACAAACTGTGCTAAAAATATTATCTCGATATAAAAATAGTATACCTTTTTTCCATCTCTTCTGATAACTTGATGAAAATTAAACATTTCAATTTACTGGACAAAATAGATACATCATGACAGCCTATACACAAGCTTACATAGAGGAATGTGTCTATTCCAGATATTTAATTTTCTTAACTTTTCCTTCCCACTCAGCAACAAACAAATTGTCTTTATTCACACATAAACCAAATGGAATCTTCAGATCACAGTTATCTATATAACGGAAAAACTGTCCGTCCTGGTCTAGGATGTGGATACAGTGGTTATCACTGTCTGCTATCATGATCTGACTCTTGATGTCTGTTGTGATGCCACGGGGTTTAAATGGTTCAATCTTTGTAGCATGACCTAATCGGAGTTTTCCTGTCTGATTGACCACTACTACAGCACCGGCTTCATAGTCAGTCACACAGATATCCAGGTTTCTGTTACACTGATGTTCTTAATTATATTATTTCCTTAATACAGAGGTTTACCCTCCTCATCAAACTGGATTGCTTGTTTCTCTGTGGAGCCTGAGTAACGGACAACTTTGGAATCTGATTCATCATAAAAGTACAAGATAAACATGAAAATCAGGAGATCACCAGAGGGGGTGACACACACATTTAGAGGAGTCCAGCGCTCTATTGTGATCACCTCCTCTGTCTATTCATTTTCTACATATGTTGGAGAAATAATGTTTTGTAATTCATCGGAATCTTTTTCTTTGAGTTGTATACTCCTGAGAGTTCTGATAAACTGTGTCCTTCATGCTGTTGTGATACTGAGCATAAGGAACAAACAGGAATGTCACATTCCTTGCATTTTAATTCGCAAGTTTTGGTTGGATGTGTTGCACACTTTGGATATATCAAGGTGGATTTTCTTTTTTGAATTGGGACAATTTTATATTTATCATATTCATCAGCGATGTGTTCTCCAATACAGGGTTTACAAAGGATGACATGACAGAAATCACAGTACATCTGTACTATAGCTGTCTCATCTGATCACATTCTGGGCACTGAGGCGGGGATCCATGGTGACTCAAGTAAGGTTCTAGAAATATTGAAAATAATTATTTGATAGTCTTATTCATCGCCTGTTATATATAATTCTTTTGGTTTAAAGCTCTCTGTTAATATTCCGCTATTTAACATCCTAATCACTTGATTAGACTAAGTGTTGGAATATATACCGGTAGTCATAGAATGAAATCATATTTTTTAACTTTGGCCTTGTCAGCCTTGTCGAAAAATAGCAAACAGTAAATAAATTTGCTTAAGAAAATTTAGATATTTTTCCATCGAATGAAACTTACCTCACTTACTCACAATCAGATGACAGATATGGGGAGACAGTTGTTTTAAACCCCAGTGTATTTCTGTTCGTTTCATTTATAAATACTTTGTTTAACATGTGGCACGTAGGCTAGTGAATGATTTACTTTGCAGGAAATGAAAATATTTTACATTGTAGAAGGCTGTTTTTTGTCAACTATCTGAAAATAGAGTTATCTCTCTTGCACCATGTCATGTATCTATAATAAACTTATTTACATTCTATATTCTTTCTATGTTATGATTGATGATTTATTTTTAGACCGTGCTGTATTTTAGATACAGAATAGTTGGTCAATATCAATGCGGTATACAGGGCTAATACCACAGAACGGTAAGTAGCTATTTTGACGAGAGTTATTCAAATGCAACAACTTTTAAACTTTTCTTTTGCATCGATCTCACGATTTTTTTATTTGTTTTCTTTTACAAGTATTTCCTACTTGTTGCTTTACAAGACATTTTTTTAAAAAAAAATTATTCAAATTTATTTTGATGAGATCAAGTTAACTTCAGCAATATTCAATTACTTTGATCTCTTCTTTGACATTGAGTAAAGTTCTCATAAAATTATTGCTCTTTTATTTAATTTCAAATAAAAAAAACTATTCGAGATATGTTTATCAAACTTCATATGCTGATGCATTTTGAAGAGAGCTATTCAATTTCATGATAATTGTTTTTATCTTAATTTTTCCTTTAACCTTGACTTTACTTTCTGGAAAAAAATGATTATTTTTTTAATTTTAAGGAAACTAAAGATATTTTATCAAACCTCATATGCTAATACGTATTGATCAGAGCTATTCATACTTATTAATATGTTGACCTTGGTCTTTTTTGACCATGACTTCACTTGCAAATTATTTGCAATGTTGATTTCTGTGACAAAAATGAATGTGTAGACATGTACGTGTTAAGAAAATTATTATATTTTGTTCTTAGTGTGATATTAAAATATTTAAAACTATAACAAACGTTTCTATTTCTCTGTTACACATCCTATTTTCTATAACAAGTATGTTGTGAATATTTATAGTTCAGTTATATTCAGATGTAGTGTTTTCATGCCAGAATTTAAGCTTCCGAAGGCTTGAACAATTTTTTTCGTCCAATGTTTTTCCATCATTTGTCTATCATCACCTATCACTTTTCCATTAAATCTCAGAAATACCAATCAAGCAGAGGATTTAATTTTGGCGTTATTAGTGAGGGTGTTTAGATGGCTAAAATAAAATATCGCTAAAAATTAATTGCATTTTATCTGTAATAGCTTCTTAAGTGAGCATTTTAAAATCACTAAATTACATCTCGCTAAAAATAAAAAAACAATTTAAAGTACAAACCGCCTATCGCTAAAATTTCCAGTTATACAATATTTGAAAAAACTTTAGCCAATATTTACACACTCTGACTTATATTTGCATAAGTAGGAAGGATTCAAAGTTCCATACAATATAGAGCCACAACATCTTGGGGAAAAGAGTTTGCTGTATTAATATTTAGGGGAAGTAATCTTATAAATTGTCTTTAAAATAAGAAAAATAAAACATTTGAGTATTATTACAAAACAATGAGAACAGTAAGGTAACGATGGGCAAAGGCCCCTTAGTAAAATGTGGTAAATTTAAAAGATAGGAAGGGTTGTGATTTGCTCATACAAAGTCTTAATACATTCAAATGTTTCAATAATTCAAATTATTTAAATCTGACTGACGTTTCTCATACTAATTGTTAGTCCATTATTTATACACTGAATTGATGACGGATTTTTTCGTTATTTCCCGATCATAACAAGGAGCACACGGCGGGTGTGAACGCTCAGCAGGGGATGATCACTCCTCCATGGCACCTGATCCCACCTCTGATGTTTCAGAGGTCCGTGTTTGCTCTGCTCCTATTTTGTATTATTTTACGGACTTTGATATTGAATACTGATCGTTATCTTTATATCTTTCTCATGTATATTAGCACACACAGGTGAAAACAAATGAAATGTGGAGATAATGAACAGTTTTCAAGCTTATTAGTTCAAACAAAAATTACATATCAGAACCAGAGCAAATATGAACTTTTTAAATATCAGAGAGGGAATAAGATGCCGTTGAGGAGTGAGCATCCCCTTACAAACCGGTCACATTCACTTTATACTTTGGTCATGTTTTGAAAAAAAAATCACGGCCATAGACCTAGACAATCATTGTATGAAATTGTATTATAGTAAATACAACTTTCAAAATGATGTCTTAAAATGAGACATTTGTTCTTGTTTCATCAACTTGTTTGTCAATAGCTTGCCTCATTTTAGAAACTTGGTAAGAAGAGCATGCTCTTGCTCAATCAAAACCCATATTCAGGTGAGAAGATTCCACCGCTAAAAAGGAAGGAAAGTTGATTGAAAATTTAAAGTCATGTTTATCATGAAACCTGTTTAGGTCACCATTAAAGTGTAACATCTTTTTCAAGTAAAATCCAAATATGATGGATGCAAATGTTACCCAGGGGAATTATGGCAGTTTATTAAAAGACCTGGGCTATCTAACAAGAGGCATGTGGGCCATAGTTCAGCACATTGGCTAGGAAAAATCGCAAAAAAGTTACATATGTAAAAGTTTACATGGAGGGTTGCTTAGTTTCTAAGGATACTTCCAGATCAATTTGACTTGAGTCCTGACTCTGCAGAAGATTTGTAAAGATTATCCTATAAATATTCCTTTGTAAAAAAAAATTGGTTCCTTATTGCAGCCCCTACCTACCCTCGGGTGTCAAGGGGTTTGAACAAACTTGTATCCAAAATACCTAAGATTACTTGTGTACCTGTATCAATATGACTAATTTTGCATAGAATTTATATATTCAATGTTCTTTAAAATTGTGAATTTTTAAATATATGTCTTTCATATTAATAATATTAGGACGATTTATATGAAGGCCGATAAGGCCTGTCGGCGCACGAACAAAATTCGGAATAATTTACGCATATACTTATTACATTTGCTTTTATTCCTTTAGCACTATGTAATACATTGAACTAAAATTTACACCACTGAAACTAGAATCAAAATCTTAATAATATTTCAAAATTTCATATAAATAGCTTTAAAAACAGACGATTGGTGTCATGATTTTCTTAGTATCGCTGGAATTGAATTTGATGAAAATGACGTCGTCAAACGCGTAACTGGCGAACGGAGATGTACTAAATTGGGTTGGATATGCTTTATTTACACTATAGACGGGAAAAAGAGAGTAAAGGAGTGGTATTACACACCAGATTTTAATAAAGAAGTTATTTTCAAGTGGCACGATATTCAATGAGAGTTTTTTCCTCTCTACCGAAAATAGTTACAGCAGGTAAGAAGTAGACTACTGTTTGTTAAACGCAGACAAAGGGGAACAATCTGGACGCGAACGACGTCAAATAATGTGTATTCTCTCTTGCCTACAATATAAGGCGATCTTTTGATTAAATTTCGACTGAAATTTGAATCTGCTGAAAAAATTAACGGACAGTAGTGAATTTAAATAACTCCCCTAGTCAAGAGAGGACTATTACTTTAAAATATATATATTGAATGTTAATAGACGCGAGTGAAGCAAAGAGATCATAACGTTATAAGAGACGTAATTTACGTTTGCTTTCGTGCGCCGGTGTACACTTGCATTCTTTCTTTATTTTTAAATAATTTTCTTATTAGACGTAATATCATCATGAAACTTGAAATGCATGATCATAAAATGTTACTTTTGCTATGACAAGGAAAGAAATTTAATTAAGCAAAGAGAAACTAAACTGTTTTCCCTGTCTACGACTTTTTGGGATAACCCTCGTAATGTCATTAGCTCGATGGCATACAACATAGTAGTCATATGACATAAAGCTTGACTTTCTCTCATTATTGAATCTTTAATGAATTGATAACAGTTTGTGTGACCACTTTTCATCACATAATTTCATCATGGGAAGCTGGAAAACAAGGGCTTTTCGAGACACTGCATTAAAAATGAATCGTCAAGAATCAAAACTAGAGTAAAATTAAACGCTTCATTAAAGCAGCTGTAAAACTTGTTAATATTATAAAAATATATTAACTGAAATATGTGAAAGTTACAGCAACCAATGCCTGTTTTATAAACAGGTGAACATGTAGATTTCAATAAACAAAAATTATATAATGGGCATCAAAAATGGGTACCGTCCTTGACAACGATGACTTTAAGACACATAGCAAAATTGATAAAAATCATTTTGGGGATAGTTCATACTGTTTTAAATAAACATTTTATAGTAAAAAAGTTTAATACTCGAAGGTTACCCTATATTTTGAAAAATGCATGAAAACAACAGCGTGTAGGAATATCCAAACAATTCTTTAAAAAATCAAAGTGACTTATCCACGTTTGTGTGAAATTCTAACAGATAATGAAACTTGTATCCATTTTGCTTTAATCCTTCAAAAGAAATTTACAATAAAATGCACTTGACAAAACTGCAAAGGCCTAAAAAGAGCAAACAATTGAAGGAGCACAAAACAGTTTTATATGCTATTTTCTGAAATATTAACGGTCTTGTTTTTCAAATTCATATTCGGGGAGGAAGTTCAAATATCCGGAGGAGTCTAGAAAACAATTTTTTGCAAAAAAATTGAAAGGTTTATGAGACGAAGGAAACAGAATGAGGGATACATTACATTAAATGTCTTCATGACGGCGGCCAAACCCACAGGCCATGAAGAGTAAAGGAGTTTTGGGGATAAACAGAAAGGAAATGTTTTGTCACACCAACAAAATTTACCAGATCTTTCAACCTTTGACTAGTTTCATTTTCTAAACTTAGAAAAACATCTATCAGAAAGAAAGAAACAAGTACAGCAAATCATAGGATCTGCCATATTCCAGTATACATGTACGAAGGGTCATACTCAAAAATGTGTTCGAAAAACAATTAGAAATTGAATATAAATGTTACGGATATGCCTTCATGGCACGCCAAATTTACAAAAATGAGATAATCATAGTTTCACAATCGATAAACAAGGTTTATCGGTTATGAACTATAGTTTACGGACTGTAAACTATAGTTAACAATGTTAATCTATATTTCACATCTGTAAACCATAGTTAACGCGATAATCTAAGTTTCACAACCGTAAACTATACTTAACACCGAAAACAATCATTTGCGATTGCAAAACATAGATTATCTGATAAATACAGTTCTACGATTTGTAAACTATAGTTTACAAACCGTTAACTATAATTAACGATCTGATAAATATAGTTTCACGATTTGTGAAACTATGATTAACAACTCTTAACTATAGTTTACAAACG